ATTTCGCTTCTGATTGGATGAGTTTCTATCCAATGGAAGCTCGAATGAAAACCTGATCTCAGATTTGGATTCCTGACTATCGATAACCTATAGCAAAGTTTCATGAAAACGCTCAAAAGTCCAAAAATGGAAAAGCTCCCTTTGGAGGGGGCAATTTTTCAGCCAATGAAAGCTCGCATTCAACATCCGATCCCAAATTTCCATTCCTGGCCCTTGATATCCTAGAGGAAAATTTTATCAAAATATCCAAAACACGAATAATATAAAAGCTAGTTTCTGATTGGTTAGAACAGACTAACAAATACATATAGATTTTCTCATGTAACATCCTTTCTTTCGCAATAAGAAAAACTAAGTTTATATAGGTAACTTTAGAAATGTGTATCGCACTAGATCTTTTTTTAATGATAAGCCAGTTATATCGTGTTTTCAAGTTTTAACGCGACAACAATGCTGCTCAACGCATTTACTTAAATTCTCAATATTCTAGTGTTTTTTCAGTTGTTAAAAACATATTTCATGTTATGTAATCATAATTAACCGGAGTTAGAAGTATAATTTATAATAAAATATTATTTTCTTACACAATAAGTATTTTCTTCACTATTTTTCAACCAGTGATACACCGTCATATGTAATTATTCTATTATGTATTCATAGATTTTGACACTTTTCTATAAAAGAAAAACAAAAAACAAACATTCTTTTTTTGGTTTAATAGAGTCATTCAATAGAAATGTTTTGTTAAGTAATAGTTAATAATAATCAAACTATTTTTGCATGTGGAAAATAGTCTTGAAAATGGTCAGGAAACGTTGATTTGTTGGAAAAAAATATACGGCTGAATTTGGCACAATTAGTTCGAGTAGTTTTTCTTCGAAAATTGCGTGTTACTTTTTTCGCTATTTGATAATCCATACGAACGGTAACACCATTTGGTAAACATATTTTGTTATCAAATAAAAATTGTTTATGATAATCTTTGGAAGTTTGAGCAAAATCAAGGTGAATAAGATGAGGATATTTAATTATTGAAAACTCTTGATTTTCATTTATTAATTTTCTAAATTGTTTATTTTTTTGTCGTTTATGATTGATTACAGTTAAGTTTTCCATTAATGGAAATGATTTTTGAATTAGAAGAAAAAATTCATGTTCGAATGGATGTTCATCAAATAATTCAACTTTACGAACACATTTAAATAATCCACCTCGAAAATTATTTGTTATTTTATGGTAATATTTCAATTTATATGGTTGAGAATAAATATGACATTGACTATAATTCATATCTTGGAAATAATCAACACAAGATATTATTTTATTGTTTTTAAAATCTTTGAATGTATTTTGTATGTTTCCATTTAATGGTAAATTAAATTTATTATAAAAACGACTCTCAGAACGAATGTTAAATGTAAATCTATTTAATTTCCTCATATGATCGACGATATTTATATTCAAATCATAACCATCAACAAATGTTTTTCTTACACAAACAATAAGAGACAAATCAAGTTTTTCTATATTTATCATTCGATGTAACAGTGGCACAATTAATTCATCATATTCACTTGTATACATATCACTTTGGAGCGAAAAATTTCTTAGATTCGGTAAATTTTCCTATAAAAGACAACAAAGATTAATTAATTTGAACAAAATCTTAGTTAATATAATATACCTTATTATTGATTAGAATTCTTGAACTGGAAATCACACCAATATGAACATGAAGTGTATGAAGTTGGTTAAAACGCCCATCAACTAAATAAAGACAATCGATAAAACGTTGTAAAGAGACATGTAATTCTAATAGATTTGAACAAATAACAGTTGAAGGTGGAGTAGAAAATACTAATAGTTGACACCATATTGGAGATAGACCAAATTTTAATGATCGTAAATTAGTAAATGTACTAAATATATGCGTAAATAAACTAACATAGACATATTCAGTTGATGTTTGTTTTCCATTTGTATCGAAATCGATAATAAGTGATACTATTTGTTTTTTCAAGGTATCAAAGAAACGAGTTTCATCTAAAGAATAAAAGAAATTTTTTAAAATCACTGAAAAGAATATTTTCTTTTATTGTTTTAATGAAAATATTTCTAGTTTTGATCTATATTGATAGCACTATTGTGTTACATAGAAGATGATATTCTATCATTAGAACAATATTCAATAGATTAGATTTTATCATCAATGTTCGATGTTTTCTGATTAATATAAAATAGTATGATCTTTTTTATTCTAAATATTTTTTTTTGAAAATTTCAATTTAAAACTTTAAGTTAAAAACATCAAGATTTTTTTTCAAAAAACATTTCTTGTATTCGAAATGTTTTTTTCGAGAAGAACTTCCTACTCATCTATGATGACAATCAATACTAGTAAAATAGAATATTATTTTAAGATTATTAATATATTTTATTATTTTACTAATCAAATTTCAACTGATTCAAATCAATTCATTTCATTTGAAGATTTTATCTATTACTAATCATTGAAACAATTGAACTTATATATCTTACCAGAAAATAAATCTATTGCCCTTTTTGCTTCAATATTATATAAACCAAGTCCTGATAAATTAGGATAATTTGTAGCCAGAAGAATACGTTCCATAGATGATGATTCAAGATCAAGCCATTCAATTTTATCATGAATTTCAGATAAAATTTCAAGACAAAATCGATTAAGTATTTGATCAACTAATGGATAAATAAGATGACTTGATAAAGATTGAAACATAATCAAATGATTGGGTTTACGTCTTAATAAAGTTAAATGATTGGTAAATATAGAATCATATAAGATTTTATTTAATCGTTTATTAACACCTAATAATGAGTAAAGTAGAGTGGTATTATTAAGTTTATTAAAAATAATCAGAAGAATTTCATCAGGTAAATTGTCCAAATGAATAGAAGAATGTTCTATCATCATTTATTCGTATTTATCTTTGAAATATCGATATTTATATAGACATACTCATATGTTCTACTTGACCGATTTCGTCAATGAAAACAATGATGCTTTTTTCTTTAGTCTAACTCAACGGCAATTGATTCTACGGCTGATAGAAGAATTTTCTTTCTTTCTTTCTTTCTCTGTGTCTGACGTAGGTGAAGTTAGCACCATATTCGAGTAAATCCTGCCCATATTCGTTCCGGAGCGTGTCCCAAGTGTACCAATCAGTGTTCCAACTACAACTCGACGAGCTCTATC